CTATCAAGATCTATTTGAGTCAGCATTGTATTTAAAGGGTGTCGAATAGCCAGTTGTTTGTATAAATTACTTTAAATTAAATGTTTGAATTGGTTGTCATTTTCTTTTAACCACTTCCTACTCATTTAACACATGACCTTTGAATACTCCTAATTACAGTAAAGTTTTTTCCCCCTGAGGTAAAAAATAAACTAATACAAAAATGGGATTGACCTATGGATTTTTAGTACACCGCATATAACCTGGTGTAGCACTCAAGTTTAGATATATGGCTTTTTAGTCCTAAAAATGCAATAGTTACAAACCAGACTTTCAGCAAGGAAAGCAGGCATTCCCCCTTCCAATTAGAGCCAGCCCATGTTCATAGAGAAACATCTGTACTCTAGTTATCTATTCTCTATCTACTGTTTTTCAGGTGTATGAACTGGAATAATAAAGATTACAATATGGATATAGTGTTTGTTGATGTGTTTTCATCAGGAAAAGTAGGATTTGGGGCTCTAATCCAGCCTATTTTTAGATGTTGTTCCTAAATGGACAAATTGCTGAACTGAGTAGAATTATGACATCGTACCCACAGCTAGGCAATTTATATAAGAACTTCAACTAATATACATTTATCTCAATATTTTCACATTGAAATAAAAAAGGAACTTTCTATGGTTTAACAGCCACCTGGATCAATGATTCTCAACCTTGGCAACTTTATGCTGGTTGGGGAATTCTGGAAATTGAAGTAGACACACATTAGTGTTGCTAAGGTAGAGAAACATTGATTCTAGACAATATTAGATAATAAAAAATATATCCCCTGATTTACTTTAGAAGCAAATAACTGAACGATCTTTTACACTCCATCTAAAATAGGGAAATCGTAAGCCATTCCATTAGCTCTAGGATAATAACAGCTTAGTCAAAATGAACAATTTCTAGCTGGTTTTTCTTTCCATTTTTCCTCCCTCCCTTTTGTTACTCTAGACTATAAAACTATAAGCAAGTATTGGGATAAATTACCCAGCATATATATTTTAGCAGAGAAGGATAAAAAAGCATAAATAAAATGAGGATGTGGAGATATAAATATGCAACTGAAAGCATAAATGGTTTTTAATGAAATGCTATGTGAAACTACTGAATATTCAAAAAAAACCCCAAACAGTAATGTTCAAACACTGCATTACAACAAATAACATCATTTTTACAATTAGGTCTTGAAACTATTTCAAAGAATAAAGAGCCAGAATTTGCATTCAGACTAAACAAACGTTTTCATGGATAACCAAAAAGTAAATATTAAATGTGAGATACAAAAGAGGCACATATAAAGTCATAATTTAATGAAGTAACTGTGCTGTATTCCATATGCTAAGCCTACATATTGAGGCCCTTCTAACACTTTTTATGTCTGATGATAAATTGCTTGGCAGATTATAAAGAAATACATGCTAGATCTGCTTTGATTATATAAGAAAATGATCATAAAGACTGCAGAAAAGAATACAAAACAGACAATCAGCAAACAAGTCCACCCTTGAAACTCTCTTCTAAAGAAAGACAAAAAATTGTTTAGAATATATTGCACAGCTCAAGATCCAGATTGTGAAAGCTGTAGAATAAAGGCCAAAATTAATTAACCTCACTTTAAAAACATTAGTGGAAACCATTTTCTCCCAAATTCATGTTAGAAAAACAGTAAAAGGATTATTCAAATTTGGTTTGTATTATATCAGTGTTTCTCAACCTTAGCAATTTCAAAATATGTGAACTTCCAGAATTCCCAGTCAGAATGTTGGCTAGGGAATTCTGAGACTTAAAGCCCACAAGTCTTAAAGCTGCTGAGGTTGAGAAACCTGTACACGTATACATTTTTAATTTGTCATAAATATATAAGAAATAAAAAAAAACTATTTACTCTTGTGGCACAGTTATATCCTAGCAATGCATTTTAGGTAATGTCCCTAAATGTACAACACAGACTTATATTATCCTTTATTATACTGATGTTAAATTGGTATTTCCCCCTTTATTCTGACAGTTAGATGTGTGAAATTTGTAAGGTTTTACCATTCATTCCTGCAAATGAAGTCATGTGATTGTATTGACTTGAGAAATAAATAATAGAAACAAGACAAGATCAGAAATAGATCAGAACATTTCATGCTGCCTTGATATTGATATTGACATATACATACATATATACACACATGCATACACACACATTTACTTTTTTCTTAATATTTGACTGTACTTTATCTCAAATATTCTTAAAATTGATAATGACTCCCCAACCCAAGCCAGGACAAGCTAAAGGAAAGTTTTGCATGTATATATCTTGAGAATCTCTTTTAGAAAGGGTTGTATAAAATTAACTAAATGGTAGTAAAATAAATCAAATTCTGCCTATAACTTCAAATTGAAAATATTTTTATCTACAATTTATTTATGCTACTATATAAATGTACAATTGTTTACAAAATTAAAATATGCATAAAATAATTTCCATCAAAGTGGAAATTATATATTATAACTGAACAGACAGATAACATATATCTGTAGATAGAGAAAAATAAGCATGCTTCTTTTTAATAATCTGAACTTACTTTTTAAAATGATAATGATACAGAAGTATAGCTGTACAAGAGACAAAATAAGAATAAAATGTTTTTTCTTTTGCCTTCTAGAATTGACGTACAGGAAATGCAGATGGTAGAAATGAGTCCATTACCTGTTACATAATAAACTTATCAAATTCCCAGAAGAAAGCAAAGTGATTAGGTAAGTGATGGAAGAGGGTATAATAGCTAAGAAAGAAATGCGAAATAAAATTAAACTGCTGTGTAAGCCACCCAAGAAAGCAGAACTCTTGAAACAGGCATTGTCTCAAAAGGAACTTTTATTAGGGGCTAGTGATAGCAGGGAATCAAGGCGAGGTCTGAGAGAAAAACCTGCAAAGCAGTATATTAAAAGCAAAATTCAATACTCCTCCCCCCAGTGTCCCAGTGTTCGTTTGAATCCCAGGCAATCCACAGATGGCATCGTGTTTTGGTAACTGGTCTTTTTGGTGGGCTCCTCAAGGTCTTTCTCACTTTTGATTTCTTCTGGCTCCAAGCGCAAACCGTCTCTCAGATAAGGGAGGGACATTCCATCCCTTGGGGAAAGGGCATCATAGCAGACAGTGCAAAGCAATCCCAAAAGCTTCCCGCTCCCAACAGAATGGCAGGTCACAAAGAAAGGCTACAGAAGTAGAAAATAGGCATAGGATTAAAATGCATTTCTTTGGGGACCTGACATGCTGGTAGAGTTGCATATTTTTTGACATTACAAAATTCTCACTAAACACTTGCAGAATCTGGTTGTAACAGGTTTGGTCTCTGAGCCTTTTTGCTGACAGAGATTCAGCTTACAGGGGCTGCTGCTGTTTTCTGTTAGCACATGAGCACGATGTTATTTGAGGTTCAGACAATGGCTGAAGTAGGGCACAATTCCCACAATTCAGACAAGAAGGAACAAACAACTGTTGCAGGCAGAAATATTTTTCTGTAAGTGCTTGGAAATCTTGGGCCTATATGAAAATGGACATAAAATGACATTGATAGAAAGAATTATTTTTCTTGGAAAAACGTGACACACTTGCATTTCTTGTATTTATGGCTCGGGGTTTTTTTGGTTCAGTACAAACTATCTTTAAAAACACTTTATATATATTTTATTATCCTAAAATAAGGTTGCAAAATACTTCCCAGAATTTCTGAATTTAACTTTAAAAGCTTAAATTTGGTTATGACTTTAATTTTCTAAATTTATTATATTATAATTATGGATATACTATTGAAGTTGTATTTTTGATTTTTATATTGCTTTAAACTATATATGTATGCTAGTCAAATGCTTTTAATATAGTGCATCATAAAAATATTGAATTATATAAAGAATGATAATAGATTAAAAAAAAACTTTCGTTTATTAGGAGCAGTAACTATAAAGCTAATATTAGTCAATTTTATATTTAATCATAATAGTAATATTAAAAGTATAGTCTGCAACTTTAGGAGTCACTAAATAAATCTAAAGCAAAAAACAAACCTGTTGTTTTACTTGTTTCTGAAGAAGTTCATTTTCTGTCTGAAAGTGTTTAATCTGTGAAAAGGAGAAATTCAGCCAATGAAGTAAAAATATACACTATATACTATGCAGCTATAAAGAAAGAAGTTGCATGTGTAAGAAGAACTATTAAATATTGTATGAAAATGGCATTAATTATTAAACTTATTAAAAGATGAAATTTTAAAAAGAAGCCTTACAGCCTTGCCTAAATAAGCATTTGTCAGTATCTTGCTGGGTTTCAGAGGAACACAGGCCTGCATCCAATAAGGAAGCAAGTATTAGTTGTGTACCAACAAGACTTCATGAAAAGATGTTATCTGCCAAGAGAAGGCAGTTATTGAAAAGCAAATTTCAGAATTGTTGAAAGGAAGACTTCTTATGCCCTCTAGTGGTCCTTTTGCTGCATCATTTAATAACTCAGAAATGTGATTGACTGTATTCCAAGTTAAAAAAAGATGAATAAAATTGTGTGTTGTTAATAAAAGATATATTGCTTCTTATAATAAAGCCCTCAGTCAAGAGCAGTCATTTCAATAAACTAAACAGGCTACTTAGGTTGAATATAAGGTGAAAATCTATTAACCATTTGGGATGGTAGAAGTCTCCTTCCTATCTTGAGCAGAAGGTTGGACTAGAAGACCAATGAAGTTCCTGCCACCCGTATGATTCATGTTTTATGTTCTAAATGCAATGTAATAGCACGTATTACTCAGAAGGGCCATGAAAACTTCCATTTATCCATGATTATCAAGAAACTATTGAACAAAATCCTGTCAAAGATGTCTTAGGTACAGATTATCCTGGTACTCGTTGATTCAACTCATTTCATACAATACAGAGTGCATAAATCATTTGTATTTATGAACTGTTTTATTGAAAAAAGTATTTATTATATTTCACATTATACCAGTATCACAAGCTGATATTGTTAAACAGAAGCAGTGCTGTACTGTCACAGCACAAGCTCCACCCTTTAGTAAATGTATGCAATGTCCTGATGCCTGCAAAAAAGGCACAGAGCTTGTATTATACTGGTGCAATACCATTCATGGTATCTGATTCCTGTCTGGAATGATTTCGTCCAAGGTGAGAATCTCACATAAAATATTATGTCAGTTACTGATATACTATTCCTTGGGTTATCCTGGAAGTGAGAAACTAAGAATAAAGTATGTTTTGGGAATTATACTTTTGTTTTGAGACATACCTGAAATTTTAATTTGTTCAGCTGGAACTCTGATTGCTCATTAAGTTTTTGCAAAAGTTTCTTCTCTTCACCGAATCTCTCTCTGTGGTATCTTTCCTTTTTTAAGTCTTCTTCATAAATCTGAATCTACAATTGGCATTATTTAATGTAACAGCTCTATAGGCACATTATTAATTAAAAAGAGGCACAAAAATGCAGATTTGTTTACTTCTGTCTATAGGGTATAAATGCCATATAACAAAATATTTACATGAAAAATACATGAGTTCACATAAAAAATCTTTTTTACAAATCTTTTTTATTATATTTCATAAACATTAAAATATAAACTAACATAATGGGAAAATGGAGAGGGAAATAACAGAACAAGTTTAACAGTGACAAAAATACATCAAAAATATAAAACAAAAATGACTTTCAAACTTTTTTCAGTACAAAGATTTTCAAACATGTTTGATATTCACATACCGTGCAGCAGTCACTCAAATCAGTTTTATCCCAAACTGTATTATTCTTATTTGAAGTTTTATTGTTTAGTCCTTTTTAGTGCTTTTCACTCGCTTTCACCAGTTTTTTTTTAATTTACATCCAAATAAATTTCCTCATCTTTTAATATTAACATATCATGGCTGCAGAAGTTTGGTTGTCCAATACTGGAGGTTTTTAAGAAGACATTGGATAACCATTTGTCTGAAAGGGTATAGGTTTCCTGCTTGAGCAGGGGTTGGACTGGAAGACCTCCAAGGTCCCTTTCAACTTGCTTTCTCTGTTATTCTGTTAGTAACATGGTTGTTAAGTGAATCTGGCTCCCCCATTGACTTTGTTTGTCAGAAGGTCACAAAAGGACGCTACAACTGTCATAAATATGAGCCAGTTGTCAAACATCCGAAGTTTGATCATGTGACCACAGGGATGCTGCAGCGGTCATAAACATCATAAGTCACTTTTTTCACTCCCATTGTAATTTCATATGGTTAATAAATCATGTTGTAAGTCAAGGGCTACCAGTAGTTTGTTTAGTCTATCATTCTAACAAGCAAATATTTTCATATTTCACAGTGATATAATCCCACATTCATTCTGAACAAGCAGTCTCCAATAAGGACATTTGCAATTATACACGAAAAAAAGTCAAGAATAGTTACACAATCAGAGTTCTGCCCCTTTTTAAAATGTGTACATATGTTTTAACCCTGTAGTCATGTAACCTCTCAGCCCCATAGATGTTGCTGTTTCCATAATTTTCATAATTAAATGAATGTTGAAAAGAATTATATTCTGTCTACTCATACCTGTTCCCAGAGAAGTTCGATTTGCATTCCCATCTCTTCTTGGTTGCAATTTCTATCCAATGCCTCAACATGAGATCTCTGTGAGGATGTATTTTGATGTTTCAAGATATCCAAAAGGGATTTAACCCCCCAAAAGCAAAAGGCAAACAAATAACAGTAAGAGACATATATATTTCTCCCCAACTAATCCAAAATCCAACTGATTTAATGTCATCTGCATGCCAAGAAACTGAGGATTATATCTCAGCCCAATATGGAAACTTAGTCAAACCACATTGTGGCAGATGTACTAGTTCTTACACTTAATTTTAACATAAGTTATTTTAGTTTTTATATAATACTTTATAAAAGACTATTAATTATAAACAGATTTCAGCATTCAAATAAAAAAGATTTGAGGGCTCATAATCATGGGCAACATCCACAAATACATTTGAATACAAAAAAAAGGTAAAGACAAACACTGTTCTCACAAATACAGAATCACAAACTAAACTATTGTTGGCAATTTTGTTGTTGTTTAAGCTTCCAGTTCTATATGCTGAGTCTCAAAGATCCTTAGATTATAAATAAGAATTTTAATTATACTTTTTGACTTTTTAAAATCTCATTTTGTTTCCCCATCTACACATCATTACAAGTTTATAGTGAACCAAATCTAACAACTTTATTTTTTGGTAATTTTCTGACTCCTATTTCTTAGCTGTAAGCTTAGAACACTATTTCAAGAAATACGTTTCCACAGGAAATATGTTTCAGGTTAAGCAGTTAATATATATTTTTATTTTAAAAATACATTCATTGTTTTTTGCTGCCTTCCTGATGGAAATATATTTATTTACTACCAGTGCTACATATATGTAACATCCAGATAGCTATTGGCTTCTAGCTGTTCATGACCAAAAAATTACATATTAAAGTAGCTGCTGCTTTCTATGTTAAATATAAAGTAAGGAAGATGACCTTGATGGAAATGTGCAAGACCAATACCTATACAAAAGGAGTTTAAGTCCTAGAAAAATGAAAAAAATATTCAGAAGCACATCAGAAAAATGGCTTCCTGGCTCACTGGATCATAATGAACGGGATGTAATGGTTTGTGGAAATGATTGTGAGGAACAAGGGGAAAAATGCTGCCTAAGAAATAATCAGTTAACAGAAGGAGGAACCCCCAATCTCAACTGTCAGAGGAAAGACAGTTATTCAGATAGTTAAAAGTGGCGTGGTAAGTTTGTGCCTTCAGAGTTGCAATATTCTGTTAATTTGCCTTACAAAAAGTTGAAAATTAGCATATCTAATTGTGTTCCCTATCTGTCTGGTTTACCAGGGAGGCTAGTAGGCAAAATCAGACTCTATTATTATAGCCAATCACAATAATGTAGTTCTAGTCTCCATATGCAGTTGATTTCCTGATCTGATCTACTACATGGGCTTGACTCCAAATAATTTTCAAAAGGGATTCCATATATACTGTAGTACACATTTCTATTGTAGATAAAGATGACTAAAGCACAAGTGTTTGAAAAACTCATCGTCCAAGAGGAACTGTGCCACTAGATTTAATTATGTTTCCTTTTCCTTATTCTTTTACATTTTTTATTCTTATCATGAATGATAATAGCATGATTACTTTGTATGTAGGCATGATAATCCACATACTATACAATGAAATACTGCCAAGTAGATAAGAAAGATGCATGAGTATGATTTTTAACATAGATATATGAATACTAAAACAAGAAGAATCCTACCTTGTTGAGTCGATTTATTTCACATTCATAAAACATCTTCTTTCTGCTTGTAAAGGTAGTTTCCTGTTTCAAAAAACTGTTCTCTTTCCTCAATGTGTTCTTGTCTTTCTGGAACAAAATATATATAAATACATTGATAAAGTACAGATAACTGAATCTGTCCCCTTTCCCTAACAGATTATTATATGTTTTTATGCCAAACATTTCAGAAACAAAATAACATAAAATTGATGCATAGCATATCCTTGAAACAGTAAAGCATGATAAAACTGTATTGATTTCTTCTTGGGCTCTCTGTGGCCCATAGTGTTGTGATTCCTTGCCAGCCAGTGGATTCAGCAGCTGAGTCTGAGGAATCAGATGAGGAGGAGGGGCCTGGAGTGACATTAGAGTCAGAGGAAGGCTTAACTGTTGGAGGAGATGCCTGGCCCCTCTACTTGCACTTAGGTTGTGACACAGCTGTGCTGGGAGCCTGAGTTGGACAGTGATGAAGAACAGTTGGGACAAATCACAGACACATGAATGTGCAGGAAAGAGAAGCGAGTAGGACAGGGGAATGCAATGGGGCAGCTCCAAAGGCAGAGGAGAAGGCATTAGGAAGCCACGCCTTGGCTGAATTATAAAAGGGAAAGTGTGGAAGGTGCTGGTTGCCAAAGGCAACTGTCCATGTTGAGGATCAAGTTTCTGTGGACTGTGTTTGTTTGCCTTGGTCATTGACTCAGGTCTGTGAGAATAAAAGGGGTTGGTTTTTTCTTGTGGTTCCAGCCTGTTTCTTGGAAGAGGGGTTTCTCCTTGTGAGCATAACAGGGACTCACATAGGCTAGGACAGAACACATACATGTCATAAACAGTGCAATATAACTGAAGAAATATAGCTTGTGGTAAATCAATCTTGCTATTACTTTTTTATATAACTTGTATCATTCTTCAATTTCAAAGCAGACTTCTAAAAAGCAAAATAAATGGGATCTATAAATAAATGTTAGGTATTCAGTTTGTACAAAATGATAGTATGTTTATTTCTCCCCCGCTGCTTATTTTCTATTTAGTAACCAGTTACCCTTCTATGTCCACTGAGTATGCGTAGTCCAGTGGATTGTTTCAGAGGAAGGGAATTTCCTGAGAGGTGTTTCTGAAATATTTTTGGTATTACTAAAAGTCCTAAGGTTTCTCCAATCTTCCATCATTTTTATTTTGGAATACAAATGGCATTTGAGCGTCATGGAAACACAATTGATAATGTAAATGATTTATTTTACCTGATGAATTTATTTGGTATATGCATATGACACCTCCATTCCTGGAAATTAGGAGGCTGAACATTATTCTTACCAGCAGTCTTTCCTTTGTCTGGAACAGCCCAAACAGGGCAAAACTCATCCAATCAAATATTCCTCCATGCAAATCATTTCTTTGGAGATTTATCAAGAAAAAGAATTTAGCTTTCTCCCTGACTTGCTAGCTATCTGTGGCAATTATTTTGTAAAGAGGATCGTTCAACATGTGAATGATGAATTAGCCCAGACTTAGTGGACAACAGCAAGCAGATTTAAGGACTTTTTGCCAACCTCAAATTTTAAGGAGTTACTGAAGCCACCTTTGCAAAGTGATTATTATCTTGGGCATATAGATAACGAAATTCATTAGAAGCCATCTGATGAGGCTGCTCCCTATCTCTGTAGTACCACAGAACTCTTTCTGGACAAGCTTATATTTTTGAGGCAGGCTTGGATCATGTGTTTGCACTTTTTCCTAGAAGGCCTAAAGCAGTGTTTCTCAATTTTACCAATTTTAGGATTTGTGGACTTCAACTCCCAGAATTCTCCATCCCTTAGCATGTGTTGAGGTCCCCATATCTTAAAGTCAGCAAAGTTGATAAACACTGGCCTAAATTATCAATTTGGAACTCAAATGTTTTCTTGTAAAGAAATATGATATTGAAGATTCTCACAATCAGTAGAAAAACAAGACAAATGATAAATTTGACCACTACAAAAATAAATGAGCAGCTGACAGAAAAGATAAAACCAAAGTTGTTTGGTAGGCCAAGAAGAAAAACTGCATGTAAGACCATGTGAAAACACGTGTTCATAGTCTCTCCATAAAATGCATAAAGAATGGTGTTCACTTATTTCTTCAGTAAACATTATTAGGATTAGTAGCCTGAGAGCCAGTTTGCTAGCTCTGCTGAAATCCTATTAGGCAATCGAGAATGGATTGCATGTTTTGTTGTTGTACATAAAACTTCTTTAAGTGTGCTTTTGGCAGAACAGCAAGAAAAGAATATTTTCAATTGGTTCAAAATCCACTTTATCAAAACTGGAACTAATTCCCACTATGTTCCAGATGCCATGATAGTAAATAATTTTGCTCTTTGAGAAGCCAAACGTCCAATGTAAAATAAAATTGTTTAATAATTTTTAGAACATGAAAAATAAGAAAATATTTTTTGAGATTACACTATTCATTGTTGCTATTACACTTTACTATCAAATATTATCAGTGATCTCGGTCTCAGAGTTATCATCAACTGAGCTTTTTAGCTGGATAACTAGATGCATTTGTTATGTACTGTTGTTACTAGGCTATCTCTTGTCTTTAAGAATTCATCAAATGAATAGCCTGAAATTTTCTCTGCCTAATAGCCATATCCACGTGAGACAAGCAGATTCATAGTAAATACAACTTTCCCCAGAAATACCATAACTCATTGCTATTATGATTGTGAAGATATGGAAGATGAAACAGCCAAGATTTATATGAGTTTTCCAGTATATTTTATTACATTTACCCTCTTGTGGACTATAATCTCTAAAGAAACAACAAACGGAAGCTTTCAGGAGCAAATGATTTTCTATATCCTTTTTGCAGGTTTACCTTTTTTTTTTAAAAAAATGCAATCGTATGCATATCTTTGATTTTTCTCCAGAATTCTTTTTAAATTTAAATAATGAAAATAATCTATTGTTGAAAACAAACTGCTAGATGTCTTTGTCCAAAGAAATTTGCTTAAAGGATCACAAAATAAATTTGCCCCTTGGCACACACTTAGTGAAAACAAAATCAAATGCCAACATTATCTGAGGTGCATTACTGTGCGATCCCTCTGAGAGGCTTTTACAAGACCATGGTTCCTGCAAATGGCATATAAGCAACTAGAGAAAGCCAATTTCTCAGAATCCCATTTAAGCTTCTGCCCTTGTTCCAAGAAAAATAAACATTGTTTATGGCACTGTCCTATTTCTACTTCACAACGTGGAAAATTTCTACAAACCCTCTTGGTAAGAAAATCTTTTTGGCCTGATTCAGATAAAATTAAATCTATATAAATAAAAATGTAAATGTTCGTTTGTTTAAAATCTTAAATCTCTGAAAGTTCTTCACCGATTGCTTTGAAATTTTGACACAATGTTGCATTCGAATACGTGCGTGTTTTTATGTACCTACTATTATATAGATGTCACACCTGTGACACAAACGTGCGCTTTCTCTTTTCTTTCTTTTCCATTTAACCAGACTGAGCCACAGCAACGCGTGGCCAGGTACAGCTAGTAACTAATAAATTTAGACAAGGAGATGCTGCTATGGATATTAGCAAGGTTTGCACCAGCTGCAACTAAAGAGGCAGAATATTTTATCAAAAGTTTCAAATGTTTTCTAATGTTTTATTTGGTGTAATAACACTGTTAATGTTTTCTCAACTTCAGTAACATTATCAGTGGTGGGATTCAGCCGGTTCACAACACTTTGGCAGAACCGGTAGCTAATTTTTTGTTGCCCAGGCCCAGAATGGACTTCTGGAAGTGGCATCCACACAGACAACCAGTTGTTCACATATTTGAATCCCACCACTGAACATTATGTTATGTGGATTTGAATCCCCAGAGTTTTTGACTGCAGAATTTTGTGAGTTAGAGTCCACACATTTTAAGCTGTCAAGGTTCAGAAATACTGATCTAAACTGAAATTTTAACATGCACATTTTTTAATTCTCCTTTTTTAAAAAAAAATTGTTTAATGAAACTGGTGGGAACTCCATTAAAGGGTTTGACAACTGTGGTCTAGGTCTATAAAAACTTTATCTGGTTGTTCCTACTTTACTTGAAAACTATTTTATGAGAAAGAAAGTAAAGTAAATTAAGTTTCTTGAATTAAAGAGAGCAGTGAATGATTGTGAAAATATTTCTGAATGACAGCATAACAAATGTAAATCTTGTTTTCTTTTGTCAATAGCGACCAAGTGAAAGGTAACTCCTTGCTATTTCAGTCACTTTTCAACTAAGCAAGACGCACATTTAAAAACAAACATTCAAACAATGAACTGTAGAAGCCAGGCCTAATAAAAACATTGGCACACGCCCTGTTCTCCTACCATTTCCTGAGCTAATCGGCTTCTCATCAGATCTCCCAGTCTTTTGCACTCTTCCTGTGTTTGATATCTTTCTCGTTCAAGATCCTTAACAATCTTATGCACAGTTTCCAGTTTTGCTTTCATTTCTGTGATCTGCAACATGATACAAAACTACATTGTAAGATATATCTATGTATATATTTATTTGTTTGTTTATTGCTTGTGCCACCCATTTTCCCTACAAGGTGACTGTAGAAATGATACTTTTATTCTAAGATGTTCGTTCTGGAAGCAGCAATTGGAAAACACAACCGTCCACTCAAAAATGTAAAGGAAACCACTGGCAATAAAATGTATTTTAGTCAAGATCTAGGATACCAGATCAAAATATAATAATCAACTAATACTAGAGGCAAGCCTATGTACAGCTGACCAGATGACTGTATTGTAAAAGAAAAATCTTTGTTTCAGTCACAAAATTCCCCAAGCCGCCTCTCCTCTTCAATCCTTGAATATTTACAGTATAAATTATACCCTAATCTTAAATGTATGAAGATTATTAAGAAGTCATATGCAAATTACATTGAAAACTTGCTTAGGTTGTTAACATTTGAGTTACTAAATTACTCAAATATCATTTTCCATTTTTTTGGCCCTTTACTAAAATTTCTAATGTAAGGTTAGAAATGAAACACATGGCTTTGTGAATCTCTCTTCACTATGAGGTCATTTGAGCACTTCCCATGGCACCATTTGAAAGATGTTCAGCAATTGCTACATTGTCAGCTCATTTTTTTTGTTAGTTTGTTATTTTCTTGCCAGCAGCAGAAATGCCATATTTTTTCCTACAAGGTGCCTGAAGGTATATTATCTGAGATACTGTGAGAGGGAAATTGATGCCTGTGACAGAAGTAGTGCAAAAGTCCCTAGTTGCTGTGATGTTGTCTTATTATTTCCCAGTCCTTTGTGTTTCAAAGAAGGTGAGCACTTAAGTATAGTAACCTAAGATTACTATACTTACTATACTATACAGGAAATTAAGTATAGTAACCTAAGATTACTATACTTACTATACTATACAGGAAATTACAACAGGCTGATGAAATAAAAGTATACTTTTTCTGCCACTAATAAAGCAAATTTAAAAGATGACATTATTGTGTTACTGTTATTATTTTCTGTAAGTGATGCTGTACTATTAATTATGAATATTCCCAACCAATGATTTTTCTGCCTATTTTATAGCAAAATAATAGCTGGCAATTTTCATTTAATTTAAAGGGTTATACTCTTATGCCTTTATGTGCTCTGCAATCATATTTTCTCTTTTCTGTTTGGTATTACACTGTTTTATATCATTTAAGTTAAGGAAAAATATCTATACATTGTAGAAAAGAGACCATACTTTGAAACAACAGTGCATCGTTGTTATTTGTTTTACCTTTTTCTCACAACGCTGCTTCATCTGCCTGAATAGTTGATCCCATTGATTGTTCACTGACAAAAGCTGAAATGATTGAGCAATACTTAACACAATATTTTCACATTATTTTTAAATAATGTTACACTATTTTACCATATAATCTTTAAACTGCTATGCTATTATGGGTTTTGCATTCTTTTACATTATTATATTAAACGCAAAGCAGTTTTTCAAATATTATTGGCATAAAACTCGTCTTTAAAACGTATATATATATTTGAGAGTAAGACAGGCAATATTGAGATTTTACATTTAGTCTAGGTTTTAACTATAAATATCACCGGATGATAGGGAAAATATATCGTTTTTAAACTACAGATATCTCAAACATTTAAAGCTTTATGGATTCTACCTTTTTCCAATCTTTTCATTATATACTAGTCCTCGACTTATGATTACAATTTAGCCCAAAATTTCTGTGACTCAGACAGTTGATAAGTGATTTTTGCCCCATTTCATGATCTTCCTTGCCACAGTTGTTAAGTGAATCACTGCAATTGTTAAGTCAGTAAGATGGCTGTTAAGCAAATCTGGCTTCCCCATTGACTTTGCTTGTCAGAAGGTCACAAAAGGTGATCACAGGACACTGCAACCATCATAAATATGAGTCAGTTGACAAGCGCTTGAATTTTGATCACATAACTATGGGGATGCTACAATGATCTAAGTGTGAAAAACAATAATTAGTCACTTTTTTCAGTGCCATTGTAACATAGTCACTAAATGAAGTGTAAGTCGAGGACTACCTGTAAATTCATGACTTTTTACATTGTTTTATAGATGTCTTAAGAATACTTAATTGACTCTGTAATTCAGGAGATTAAAAAATAAATATAAGTGCCAGGCAAGAGAATAGCTTGGGAGTGGCAAATGAGTCAATATTATATTGTAGCAAAATTTACTGCAGTAATTTTTCAAACTACCTGTGGGAATTTCCAAGATGTGCAGGTTCCCTTACATTTCTGAAAGTTAGCTTTTCTCCAGCTCCTTGGTGTCATGTTACAATTACTCTGTGTATTTTAATATGCAGAGCTAGTCTTACAGGCAAAAGATTTGGTTACATATTTAATACAAATCAACCTTCAGTAATTCATAGTTCCTGAATAATGCGCACATTGAAACACAATTATTATTATTATTTTTCTATTTCTGTCAGAGAAAAAGTATGCAAATAAAACATATTCAAGGAAATGCATGCAAAATGTCTCTATTAAAGACTTTAAAAATTAATTTTGATTTGAAATTTAATAAACTTGTGTTTTAAAAGGGGAATGTTACAAAACTCTGTCTGAATATTTATTATACCACCAATGGAAAAATATCCAATAGGAGTTTCAAACAAGCAACTTTAAATATTATGTGTATTTACTGCATATATAATGTGTTTCAGTTACACACAATATGGTAGTATTATGCTCACATCTAATTTTTAGCTACATGCTTGATATAGTCAAACATAACTATAAGTTCCTACATGAAAAAATGTAAACGTTTATGCAACTAAAATTATATGGGAAAAACTAAGTCACATAACTGTGACTTTATCAAATCATAAAACTAAATGCTGTGAATAACACATAGAAAAGGAGAAGTATATTTTATATATAAGTTTATATATAATATACTTAGTTACCTAGACCATACTTCCTATTCTGACAGTCTGCAGATATGTTAATTTATTTCTAAGATTTTAATTCCTACTTTATTGTTGTATAATCAGGGATTTTCAACCTTTCACCCATTGTACCACTTTTAGGATATGGCAACATCTGAGTACCACCAGTCGCCTAGCAAGGTGTCAAAAACTTGATGACCAAAAAAAAAAGGAAAAAAGTGATGAAGTACAGGTAGTCCTCGACTTACAACAGTTCGTTTAGTGACTGTTCAAAGTTACAATGGCACTGAAAAAAGCACCCCCCAAGCCACAGCCAAGCAAGACACCTGCCTGTCCACCCGGCAGCGCTCTTCCTCCTGTCTGAGGTTTTCATTGTTGTGAGCATTTCTGTTGAGGATTGGCAGCAGGGTGGGGTGGGGGGGTGTTTGGTTTTTATTCCCCCCCATTTGCTGGCTGGTTGCAGCAGGTTTTGGTCACTTCACATGACCCTGGGACACTGTGACCGTCATAAATATGAATCAGTTGCCAAGCATCTGAATGTAAATCACAAGACCCTGGGCTCATCAGAAGCACCAGGATCAGCGTCGAGTTCCAGCTGGATCCTGGCGCTGATCCTAGCGCTTCCACTGAGCCCTGACAGCCCTGCAGCTCCAGCCATTCTTCTTTGTCTGCACATCCCACTTCTTATTCCTGTACCTTTTTTCTCATCAGGATTTTAGGGAGCTCTGTATGTATCTACACCGAACTATTTAAATTTCTTTCATTTTCCTTTTTGTAGGAATTATTTAATTGCCCCTTTAGCATCTCACTTGTAGAAACATATAACCTGAAGTCACATGAGATCTGTTGTATAAACAATGTGGTGATTCTGAAAGGAATTTTCAAATGTAACACATTATCTTTCTTGGCATCCAGAAATGCATGCTAGGTCAGTGATCTGCTCAGCTTGCTTTTCTGGCAAACTACAAGCAGGTCTGTATAGTTGGAATGAATCGTCAAGAAGCCTGCCATGCAGTTTTATTCTTGTTCTTCATGTGTAGTTTCCTTCCAGGCAGACAAACCCATGAAAAATATAGAAATGTGTTTTGGAGAATCTTAATGATTTAGGTTCAGATGGCTTCAACTTACCTCCTGCTTCTGCTTTTCTAATGATATAATTTTTTGCTGCAGTGATATGTCTGTTAAGTTCGTTGTAAATATACACTACAAAAACAAAATGATTCAGCTGAAAACAAATCCATTTACATTGACCTAAGTAAAATAAAAATAGATATCAGTCTAGATTTGCAGCTAAATAATGTAAACTATGTATCAGCCTGACTATTAGATATTGTTCCAATGTAGATTAGGTTCTCCCTGAAGTGGCTTCCCTTGCTCTTTCTATTTCTGTTACAAATATGACATTGAAAGTGAACTTTGTTACTGTAGAATATGGTATATTCTATGTTAGAATATTTTAATTTTATTTTTCTATCATTAGAATGTTGGAAGCTATTGTTAGGTTAATATGTTGAATGTTAATCTGATTGGGTACTTGAAAATGGAATTGTTGAATCGGATTTACTTTCAACCAGCAACATATTTCAATTTATTACATTTATTATATATTACATTTATTACATATATATAAAATCACATTTTTCAATTACCAACTAAACCTATATTATCTATATTTTGAAACAAATTCTACAGATATCCAAAATATTTACAATATTTATGTATAATTACAGTATTTCAATATTTAAAATTATGTTCAACACCTACAATATTACACAGAATTAAAGGGAAAGAAATATATATCTTCTCTGATGAAAGTATCCAACATAATTTTTAAAAATCCTAAAGCCATTTTTACAATTTACTAAAATAATATTTTACAGCATTGTTCAAATCTATTAACCTGCTATTTATTTATTTAACTTTATATGCACATGTGTCTGTCTCTCCAGAAACATAATTTTAATTATTTATTAAAAGGCATTTTAATAACTTAGTAGTTTATTTATGACTTGCTGCATTTTGAATGCTCTTACTTTCCATTAATTAAATTAATCGTGGTTAACATATGCTTATTAAAGCTTTAATTCACTTTAGTATCATGGAATAGGCTACTTTCTCATTTAATTAATGTTGCAACCATCATAGGAGAAGAAGTGGCAGAAACTGGAAATGGAATCAAAAGAGGAATCAGCCTAGAATCTTAACCTAACCACAAATGGACTAAATCCAATTCTCCTTGAATTCCATTACCCCTGGTCTAGCCAAAATAGTCCTAACTTTTGAATATATTCCTGTGTATAGGCATGAGCAATAAATCAGTTTAATTGGACCTTCACATGTAGATCTTTCACACCTGACATATAGGCTGTTTAATAACTGTTTTTAACTTCTAGCTAGAGGAAATTAAAATGAGTTAAAAAATAATTCAGTTGAGGTGTTAGTACTTAATATGAGTCATTGGAAACTCCAATTCTCAAGCATTAACTGGACTACTTCCCTTATGTTCAATCTGATGCATGCTGATACTGAAGGGCTCTTGTCCTTCTTATAGTATGGAAACTTGAAAATTTCAGTTTTATTGGGAGTATAATTGGTATTCGTACCAGACACACTTACTCTTAAATAGGCATGCATAAGATTATCCTCTTAGTAAGATTAGTCTCAGTTTATGTATCCTAGTATATAATATTGTACATCGGACATGATCCTATATGTCAAATTGGTATGCTGATGGTAGTGATTACAAAATGGTGACCACAACAGGGAATTTTACACAATACTTTTCATTGTTACTTCCCTCAGTGAACAATTATTTCACAGAGAAATTGTCCCTTGGCCACATTTCAACATAGCACTATATTATTGTTTAATTTTACAAAAATGAGCTATTGTGACTTTTACAAACTTTATACTTCTCCTTTGTTCCCCAAAGTAATAGCTGTGTATTTAATAGCAGTGCATTAGATAGTTATTATTTAATAATAACTTTGTGAATTCAATTCAATCTGTATTTTATTTGCTTTTAGGAAAACACATTGTTGCATTCATTCTTGTTGCTGTTACATTGTTATTATTGATCTTCCTCGTCTTGTTGTTATTTAAATAAGATGCTATGAATCCACAAAGCACACACTCCTTGGATTTAAGCTGGTATATAAATGAATGAGGAACTGCAACCACAATTTTAATTACTTGTGAAATACTTGTGGGATATTTTGTTTTGTTTTTAAGTTGAGCAAGATCATACTGAGACCACACCAGAATGAAGCAAAATAAGTAATGACATTTTTCAAGGCATACTTTTACAAATTGAAAATAAGGAAAATAGGCTTTGAAAATTTTCTCACCTAAGTGCATAATATTTTTATTTCTAAAAGACAATAAACATTTGAAACAATTTACTTGCTGCCTGGATAGAAAACCAAGGTTTAAATCCATATGCTTTGAGTACTGTCTATGTAAAACAGCAGAATATAATAAGCCATCAATACTGCAGAAATTATTAACTTAGTTTGTACCAATTATTAACTGGGTAGTTTGTACTAAAAAGCAAGAAAAATGATTATTAACTATACATTACATCCCTTAGTGGTAACTGTACCTGCCCCATAGAAATAGAGGCAGAGATTTACTTCAAGTCAAACAAACTGTAAAGAAGAAAAGCATGCATTGGCTGATTACATAAAAGACAGCAAGGACAAGCATTGATACAAGTTAAAAATTGGAAATTATGAGTTTCTGATGACCTCGCTGCAAGATGAGCACTGGGGAATGAAGTTCCGTTCCCCAAGCCCAATTTCTACCAGCTGGGGAGTCCAATAGGACTGAAAGTCACCTCGTAGAGGTGACTAGCCAAAGGGTGAAATTTTGCAGATCGTGGGCCAGCAGTAGCTGACTCACTTGATCCAAAGGAGCCCTCGGGACCAGCAGGAAGAAAAGCTGACCGCACCCATGTAGTCAGCCAGAAGCAGCTGACCGTCGGAGACAACAAATTCTAAAAGCGGAAAGCAAAACAGCTGATCTGGGTGAGACTACTTTCCTTATCTCTCTGCGAGTGAAAATACCAGTTCTGGGGAAAGCATTCAAAAGCAAGAAATCCCCGAGCACCAAGGAGGGAAGGCTTTTTTCTTTACCCCTCCCTCCTGAACTATAAGCGGCGGTTTAAGCTTTGGGGAAATTAATAATGACTGATAACAATATTGTGAAGAAAACTGAGCCATAAAAGAAGGATAATTTGGGAAACTTTTGGACTCATAAATATTTTTTTATTCCTTGTTTGGAAACCATCTGGTTTTAACTTTTTAAACTTGTTTAAAGTATGGTGGGAACGGACATCTCATGACATCTAGTGGCAAAACTGAGAACTACATTTAACCTTGCTTTCTCTCTCTCTCTCTTTTCTTTATCTCACTGAGTTGTTTTGATTGGAGTTTTAAAACTTGGCTGTATGCCCAGACACAGCTTATAGTTTAAACATTTTGGTATCCTTTAAATTTATAGTCCTGAAGATTGTGGCTGAAAAAGAAAAGACTCTTTTTGGATTGCCCTTTTCTACAGGATGGATTACAATTATAAATAAAAATTGTTTTTGAAGTCATCTGACTTCCCTGGATTACAAATACAGCTTGACCTGGAATTTTTGCAAGCTGTTTTGAAAGAGTGAATAACAAGAAATCTCTTTGAACAAAACACTTTGGATTACAAATTTTGGTATATAATTTTTTTTCTCTTTCTTTCTTTTTCTTTTTTCCCTTTTGCTCTTTTTTACCATTCATTATTTTTATTATTTACCTTTCCTATTTGTTAGGAGCCTATTGGATTATAAATTTTGATTTACTTGGTAGATTATAAAATATGATTAAAAGATAAAGATGAGCGTCCCTAATTTATCTAGAGTTGGAAAAAAAGGATCTTCTGCTCCCTCTTCTGCTTCTGCAAGTCCAGTCTATCAGAGATCAATTGATACAATGCTCCAACAAGAAAAGGCCAATAACTTGCAAAAGGAAACTCAAACGACTCTACAAGCAATTCAAGAAGCAATTGCTACTCACATGGCGGTTACAACAAGAAATCATGAGGAGATGAAAAGTGATTTTGATAAAATGAATAAAAAAATTAACAACATGGACTCTCAATTTGAAAATGTTAAACAGATGATTACAGATAATCAACAAAGAATCCAAAAAATAGAAGATAAATCAACTGAGGTTGACCAGAAATCAGAAGTCTTAAAAGATGAAAATCAGAAATGGATGCAAATAAATGGAGAACTAGAAGACTCGATAGCTGAAATGGAGATGGAAAGAGCCTCATACTTTTTAAGATTTCCAAATATAATGGAAGATAAGGAAGAGGATCTCCTAAACTTGATAACGGAATTATTGGCAGACGCATTAGGAATTGGGAAACAGCAAATGGAAGAAGAATTAGATCAGATCTATTGAGTCAACTCAAACTATGCTAGAAGAAATAAAGTCCCCAGGGAAGTACATGTTAGATTTCTCAAAAGATCTATAAGAGACAAGATTCTGAGAAGAGTAAGAGAAAGGAATTGTAATCCTCAAACAAATTCCTAGGAGAATTACTATATTAGTAAGAAGAAGACTATTGAGCGATTAATTAACATATTGTTTATGATAATTAACTATTATCTATTATTTCTTGTTAAACACATGAACCCAGACATTATGCTGTTTGCTAAATATTGAGAATGTTATTTGAAAAAACCCTAACCCTAACCCCAACCCCAACCCTAATCCCAACCCTAACCCAAATTCCAATCCCAATCCCACCTCATTCCTAACCCTATAAAACTAATAAAATTTATACAAAAATGTATACAAAAATTACAAACTTGGAAGTTTGTTATTTACCGAAGACAAAATCTAAATATAAAAACACAAAAAGCAATCCAAGGAAAAGCATTATATAGTCAATTTCTACTGAAGACCATGGAGAAAGTGGATACAGACAAAACCTGGCCATGGTTTACAATTGGAATATTAAAAAAAAAAAAAAAAGCCCTGAAAGCTTGGTTTTGGCTGCTAAGAGCAAGTTATTCAAACTAATCCAATCAAGGCCAGAATTGAAAAATCATCAAATGTTTCAAAATGCAGATTGTGCAAAGAAGTAGAAGAAACAATAGATCATATACTCAATTCATGTTAGACGATTTTACAAACTGATTATAAATAATAACATAACACATAGCACTTCAAAATTATTTGCTGGAACATTTATAAAAATCATCTTGTGCCAGTAATGAAAAATTGATGGCAGCATAGATTTGAAAACAGTTGAAAATGACCTAGTTATGGGACATAACATAGCAGAATTAAGAGTGGGCGATAATAAGAAATTTTGATAATTGATGTGGTAATACCACAGAACAGTAGGTTACAAGACAAAGAATTGGAAAAGATCACAAGTATCAAAATCTGAAAATTGAAATTGAAAGATTATGAATAAACCAGCCATGGTGGTCCCAGTGTTTGCACACTAGGTGCCATGTCAAAAATCTTAGATGGCACTTAGAAAATCTGCACACTGACAAAATTTCTATCAATTACAAAAGGCTACACTGCTTGGATCTGCACATATACTACGCCAAAACATTATGACATCCTAGATTCTTGGGAAGAATTCAATACATATGAAGGCAACACTAGCTAAAGAACTGAAACTCTGTTGTGTATATGATAATAATGTAATAATAGTAATAGCAGCAATAATAATAATGTACTAAATATTAATATATTAGTATATATTTATAAAGTAACATAAAACGATTGAATTGCCACAGACACACCTTTAGACTGGGAACAAACTTACTTCTTCCGAAGTTTTCTTGGATTCCATAACAACTTGTCTCTGGCCTGAACAATTTTGGCTCTTGCTTTTTTCAAAGGCCTTTAAATCATACAATATAAAGAAATCATGTACACTATGAGATAGAATCAATCCAAAGAAGAACACTAAAACTATAGTATCAGGAACTTCACATGAGGAATATCCTTTTTTTTCTGCATGTCAAATGCTGAAAGCAATGGAACTTGTATTTGAATCTTTCATAAAAGGGGCTTTCCAAAATATCTCAAGCATACAGCCTATGATTAAATTAATAAAAGTAACTGTTATAAATGCAACTGCAATTTCCATGTTGTCTTTCTGTTGTCTTTGGCTGGGGTGGGACTGCACAGGGAAGAAAAACAATAGAGTAAATTTATTATCTCCTCACTACCATCCATGATAACCATTTCCTATCAGAATTTTTTCTATGCTATTTCCCATACAAACCCGGAACTTTTCTGATCATTGTTAACACATATTAGATATTCACCCATGACAAGGAAATGGGTGAATCTTATTTTATACAGCAGAAGAATGACTGCAAAATAAGAGGAATGTCCATCATGAGGAATTTTTGTACCCTAGGGATGAACCCCAATGAAAGTTAACTAATTCTTGCAAGTAAACACATTTTTCTATTGTGATAATTTGTGGGTTCAAAAGGGAAAGAATTGTGGAAGAAACATAGGTTTTTACTTGAGTAAAAAGGAATTTTGATATTATTTCTAATCATAGGAATAATAAATTTATAGTCGCTATATAGCTGTTATGAGCTTTTTCTTGTGCAGGAAGAGCATTTGCTAAACTAAGAGCTGGTATAAAATTATATCCCTTGGTGATACAGATCTGGATTCAGTTCCAAAAGTTTTATTAGTTTATAATATACGATACAATGAAAATACAAAAGTAAATAGAAGAAAAGATAGGGAAGGAGAAAGGAAGTAGAGAAGTGAGGTAAGAGAGAGAAAAAAAGGCATTGACTTCCAACTTCCTTTGGTGCAATAAACATCAAACATCAACTTTTTACTTTTACAAAATAATATAAACTAGACATTTTAATAACATCAAGTCTTTCTAATTGGTAAAACCCAAAATCAAAATTTCATTTTTTTCCACCTCAAGCACAAAGTCTAGAAGCGGTTTCCTTGTAACAATAAAAGTATTTGTATTCTTTTCTTTAATCAGTACAGTCAGCTTAGCCATCTCTGCTAGCTCCATCAGTTTTTGTAACCATTCCTCCGTTGTGGGAATTGATGTAGTCTTCCATTTCTGAGCATAAAGTAATCTTGCTGCTGTCAACATATATAACATCAAAGTTCCATATTTTTTTCCCAGGTCTTTGTTCAAGAGATGGATGGCTACAGATCTGGATTGATCCACCATTAGCTTATTCGAAGAAGCAGAGGAATACTGTACATCTTATATTGTCTATTTTGTTTTTGTTTTAAATATTTTTATAGACATTCCCAATTTATTTGATTGTTTGCCACACAAAGTTACACCATGTTTTGTGAACTATTGTAGATTTATGTATCAAATGAATTTACTTTGATAACTGTACCAACAAAACAACAGCCTTTTCTAAATATAAATTGGAGATATTTGCTTGACAATGTTAGTCATAATAATGCTATAATAATGAAAACTTCCCTCAAATAGCAACTGAAGCTTAAATATGATTTGAATAAGATTCTAAATATCTTAAATCTAAAATCTCTCCAGTTTTTCTGCTGACTTTCAGTGCAATTTCAGGCTTTGGCTGCTACTCATTCATGAAATTCTTAATTTAAAAAAAAGGAAATTCACATTCACTCATATTGTGTATTGTTTTCAAAAGGGATTTTTTTTCTAAAGATTTAGGTTAACTTTTGAATTTGTAAGTAACAGATTAGAAAATTTTGTCTTTTCCCCATTCTTTTCCTTGGTAACTTTTTTACTACATGATCTAAATCAACATTTCCATTAATAGTACGTATATTGGACAGATAATTAAAACACAAAATATAAATGAAGAAGCATGTATGATATTTGATTTCTGTATAAGAACAAGAATGGAAATATTTCACTTTCTGTGGGTGTAGTATATTACAACTTATATATAGTTATTCTCATTTAAAATTTTACACATTTACACAAGTGGGTGGATTTAGAGAAACCATAATTCACTCTTTCAATTTATGAGGGAAATGATTATAACTTCTATAGTAATCTTGCAGCTATGTATTTTATTTAAGAACTCTCCATGAAATCTGGACATATTTTCTCTTTTTTATGTGAAAATAGTGAAACAATGATATTAAATATCACATTGTTATATGTTGAATAATCAGAACATTTCTAAGAAGATGTTTAAAAAATGATATAAAATATGCCAGTGTTACAAGTTGAAAGAAATTGTGCCAAAAAAGCATGCTTTTACTACCCAAATATCACCCGGGTGGAAAATCCTAATTTATCAAATTTCACAAGAAAATTGGACATATATTTTTAAAAAGGTCAATGCCTGTGAGCTATTTCAGGTAGGCCAAAACACTAATTAGATAATGTGAGGATTATAAGAATGTTTCTTTATTGCTATAGAATATATTGACAAAATCTTGAAAGAATCTTGAAATCATGTCAGAAAGTTCTTCTGAATTCTCAGATGCCAAACAGATTCAAGCTAGGATTATCTTGAGTTTCTTTCTCATGCTTTCTCCTTTCCCAGGAGTGTCTGAATTATTGTTTGCTCTCTCTTAACAGTTCTTGCATTCCTTCATCAAATTTATCTCCGTGCACCTCTACAACAACACCAGGGAAAGGGATATTTGAAAAAATAAAAAAGAGAGAAAAGGAAATAAGTTGTAACTTGTTACATTTCTACAATTACTTTTTTTCCTTCCTTCCTTCCTTCCTTCCTTCCTTCCTTCCTTCCTTCCTTCCTTCCTTCCTTCCTTCCTTCCTTCCTTCCTTCCTTCCTATTTATTTATTTCAATGAGTGTGGGCAATTTACAATTAAAAAGTTAAAAGCAAAATATATTAGAAAAATTATTAGTTTATATATAGAACCTACAACTTCCACATTTATGTGATTAGTAAGCAATGAGTTAGAAATCCAGGACTTATCTGTTTTCAAGTTCAGGACATATCTGTTTTCAAGCTTGTATCTTTACCATCAAAAACTATTACACTATTACATAAAGAGAGGTAATAGTTACATGTTGTCCATTTTTTTCTCATGTTGGTAAAGCCACATTTTTACTGAGCTATTTGCATTCCAACAGTTTGCTCCCATAATCATCAGCCAAGACAAATTGGGGAAATAATCTTTAAATGATGTGTCAGGAATCAAACCTAATAAATAGATGCATAAGTCACACTTGTTAAAGTGTACATCAGAAGTTTCACTCAAAAAGAGAGAGAGGGAAAAGGAGAGAAATAGTCTATACAAATGAATAAACTGTGCATTAGCACCTATAAAAAAAGGAGCTCATTTATAAAAGGTCATCACCTCATTGTGTATCATACACCCAAATTATTGTTAAACAAAGAAACATAATAGACACACTTCCTTTCTTTCTTCTAAAAGAAGGCTAAAAAAGAAGGAAAGAGAAACAGGAAAGAAAGAGCAATGGGAAACAAAACTGGATGAAAATCAGATAGAAGGAAGGAAAGCAAACTGAAGCCCTCGTTAGGCATTACAAAAAGAAATAAATTCACTGGAAAGAAACAACTTTCAAGTAACAGCTACTCCTCTGACTAATTCGTAGTGGCATCTACACTTTCCAACTGCAGTATCTGTGAATATTTGCAGCGTCTTTTATTCCTTTGTTTTCAAAACCTTCTTTTATTAGCAATGAATATGAAACCACATGAATTCTTCCCATGTGTGTTCCTATGGGGTAAATACTGTATTTTAAGAAATTGACTCTTCCTTTGAAATTAAGTAAGAATAATTAACGTTACCATGTCTTAGGAAAAGTCCACAATATTGCATATAAGAAAATGAAAAATTATTACAGATGTGATTATTGATGCATAAAGCAGATGTTCGCAATCCTAGTAAGTTCTCAATCATGTGGTATTTTTTAAGCTCAGTTTTATTTTCTCTACAAAGATTTCCTGTTTTGTATAAAAAGGGATGGAAGTAGAGGAGATTTGTTTATACTTAAGTTTTGAAAATTACAAGAGCCTTAGTAGTAGGTATGTCATTTGAGTTCTTTGCTGCAAAAACTGTAAACACTAGCAAAAGATATGTAGATATATTATGCTGCCAAACAGGATTGGAGAAAATGAATATAGGGTTTTAAAAGAAACACAAGAAAGCTAAAAGAAACATGCCACATCTTATTCTCAAAATAAAATGTAGCAAATAGCCTTCTTTTCACTTCTTAAAGAAACTGAAGTTAATTAGCTATCTTTTTTTTAATATATTTTTATTAATTTTTTTACATGAAAAAAGATAAACATAAGAAATACAGAGGAGAGTTAAGAATAAGAAAAAAGAGAAAAAAAAGTGTAAAAACAACACAAATAGAAAAGAAAAAGATAATTAATAAAGCAACTTCCAATTATCTTTACAACAGTTACAAACCAACTTATTATCTCTCATTTCTCTCTAAGATTATATCACATGGATTTCCTCTATTCCATAGTCAACCTATTTAATCAGCAAATCAGAACACCATATGATTTCTTTTTCCATTTTTAGCAAAAGTTCATAAAAGGCTTCCAGTCTTTTACAAAAGTACTTTTATTTTATCTCTGATCAAATAGATAAATGTTGCCATTTCTGCAAATCCTGAAATTTTCACAATCTATTGTGGGTTTTGATAAAATTTCCATGCTTTTTCACACTTCCAACATTGACCAGAAATACTTTTATCCATCTTAGATACGTTTTTCTGGAATTATATACCAACAGTACATCATTTTATTAAAATCTTGTCTTAAATTATAACACAATGTAAATTTCAGTCCTTTTAACCACAGTCGTTCCTACTGATCCATCTGTATATTATAACCAAAATTGTTAGTCCATTTTATCATGAACTCTTTAACTTGTCCTTCCATTTCAAACCTCAATGAAAGTTAATACATTTTAGCTATTATTTGTTCATTTGTACACTGTTCAATTCAAATTTGGCCTTATGTTGTTCAATTTCAGTTATTTTTCTATGTACCTTAAATCTTTCTTTTAAGTATATATAAGAACTGAAACTATTGGAAATATTGAAAACTAAATCTCTCTGCACTCAATTGTTCTCTTGATTTCATTTTAAATTCTCATGTTCCTATACTAACAAATCTGGATATGTTAACAATTTGACTTTGCCTGCTGTTTCTTTTCTATAAAATGTGTCTTGTGTTGAAACTATAAAAGTATTTTCAGGCACAGTCTGAATTTATATCTATTCCATATTCTTAATGTGACATTTCTATCATAGTGGTTTTGAAAATCCACATTAAATTTAACTTTATTGTACCATTAAAAAACCATTTCACCCTCAGGTTATATTCTTTTAGTGGTTATATTCTTCTTATTCTAACATTCTCTTATTTCTCAAGAGTATCTACTTTTTCATCCAAACTAAACAGCAGGCTGCAAAATACAATCTAATGTCAAAGAGGTGCATTTCTTGAAAAGTAAGTGATATAGCTGGTGACAAAATTTGTAAGTTATTTTTCTTTTACTAAAACATAGTTATTTTCTCTATTGTACACTTTCTTTTGTACACTATATTAAAATACTCATTTTGTCATAACCATTTCTTTTCACCTACATCTATTTCATATTGAAATCTGGTGTGGCAACATTAGCTTTTAATGGGTTTTATCAACCATATTCCAATAGCACAGTTTGAGGACTGATATATTGCCGTGCTTTCCTTTAATCATCTTACATAAATTCTGAAAGATGCATCTTGAAGTCTTAAGTATTTAAGGGAATTTGGACACAAAATTTACTCTGGTCTTTCCTGTCTCCAAATGTGTGCTATCCACTCATCATGAATCAGTAGAAATTCTGCTTCTGTTTCAGGTCACTATTATTCATTTGACTCCATTCAAAGTAATGAATAATGAAACATAACAAATTTCATCAATTTAGACTGCCTTCTCAAAACAGTACTCAAAACTATTCAATACCACTGTAGTTGAAAATGAATTTAGACTGTTATTTACATAGGCTGGAGATGCACAACTTGTGCACAATTGGTAAAAAAAATATATTGCCAGGAAACATCGGTATCATGGCTAGGTAGAAATGAAGAAAGAATTGTAATGCAGATATAATGTTATATATGTTGTGACACCTTCCTTCACTCACTCATTTATATATTGCTTCTCCATCTTGAATATCAGTCTTGTAAAGTAGAGGAGAGCCTCACAAATGTTACAGATGAAAAATGTGGTTTATTATTTATTTGAAATTATTTTTGGCAGCCAAGTACTTCAGGAAGGTAGGGCTAATCTAAATGTTATCAGTTTGGTTTGCACTCTGTAAGAGATGGCTGTAAGAAAATGGAGAAGTGTCCTTGGACTGTTTTAAAGAATCCTATAGAGGAATTATATGTGTTTTTCAATCCTATAATTCTAATTTTATATTCATTATAAACAACTTTGCATCTATATACTACTATTTTCTGCCAATATTTCAGAGTCTACATGGACTATTCCTGAGGATAGTCAAGAGTTTATCAAAAATACCAGCAGTATTCTGCACATGATGGGATGGACATTATGAAATACATCCTTCAGGAACTTGTTTTTTCAGTCGTCTGGACTTCTCTAACTTCCTACATGTCTAATAAATTGATAATGTAGACAACAGATGCCACCAGAAGCAGGATCCACTTACATTCTTACCACCCCTTTGTGTTCCTAGATCTAAACTTGTGATTCCATTATATCAAGTTAAAATTTACCTAATTGAAAACCAATCTTTTAATGTTGGTACCTATTTGGTTCCTGCTCAGATGTTTTATAGATAGCTTCGGATTAAATATATAAATTAAACAAACAGTGCTGTTAAATCATTATTGGCCAAAAATGTCTAAGCGGGAATATGAAACAAGAGCTTTTCACTTCTCATTCCACACACTACCTAACACCACACAAATAATTGCAGTAGGAATAATGACAAATATCCAGTAATGAAAAAAGGAGAAAAATAAGTAGTAAGGTTTTTAAATTATTAGTTGTTATCCATATGATACTCATTATTCTTAGTATGATACACAAAACTAGCTAATGCAGAAAACAATGCTTTCAGTTTCAATTCTTTATGTCAATTTGTTAAGTCGGTATTCTTTGGATACAGGTGAAAACTATATTATTTTAGTTATACAGTATATCATGCTGTTCTTGGATTTTTTTTCCTCTCTAAAGTAAGCACAACTGATTTCAGTGTGGAAACGAAGAATGTAGACTAGCAACTATTGCTAAAGAAACTCCATCTTTGAGTCTGATTGGGACTCAAAGGGAAGGTGGCATTTTCTCTTATATTTCATATTTCATGACAATATTTCATATAATCATGAGTTTTTAATCTAGCTCTGATATATCTTCAAAGTGAAGAAGTGTGAGCAGAATAATTTGGAAGCTGCCATTTAGGTCATCATTTCCAATCCATTGCACAGTAATGAAATTCAAAGTAAAGTATTTCTGACAAATCTCTGTGCAGTATCTGATTGAATACCATGTGATATTGTATATCTGAATAATGATATAACATTTCTTCACAGTGAAGAGACATACTAATAAGATCATCCTTCCAATGAATAAAAACACCATTATAAATATATTTTATTTAAAAAAAACATACTGCTATATCCATCTCTTGTCTTCGTATAATTCTGACACAGAATACAAAATAAATGAGGAAGCAAGAAGATGGAACTATGAAGTATTGATCTCATTCCTACACACTGAGCAATCATTTCATTGATGTGTTGATTTCAAACCTCCAAGATTTGGAGATTTCATAGATTATTGCAAAAGTGATTATTGTAAATCTGATGTCCAAAAACTGCCACACCAACATAATATGTCTTACTCTACTATACAAATGATGCCATCTCATGTCAGTGTTCTTCCGACTACCAGGAAACAACTGCAGAGAGTAGGGAGGTAGCTGCATTATTTAATTAATAAAGGAAGTTTTTGTACAATTATGTAAAAGAAAGTCAATTGACTAATTTTAAGCAGCTGTCAAGAATGACAAAGTTACTTACATTTAAGGCACTGTTTTCTGGTTTCTTACAGGACTCTGGAGTATCATTCTTCTTGATCAAAATCCTTATTTTATCATCAAGTTCTACACTGTCACATCTGGGTTCAGAAGAGAAAAAAAATGATGCCCTATTTTCTAAAGCCAACAAATATATGTATATAAGTTCATTCAACTTTTTGTTTAATTAAGGATATTTTTAAGCATATTCTAAGAGTTTCCCAAAAATTATTCTGTCAGGACTAATTGGAGTTTCAAGAAAAAGATAACCTGTTAATTAATTATTAGTTTTATAAAATATATATTGCTCAAACACTTTAAAAAAAGAAGCTACATTATTTGATAATATAAATGTGTTGATCTAGTAAGCTTAAACATCTCCAGCTTGGAACATAAAATATGGTTCTCATATGTACTGTATAGCTGCAACAGTGCTTTGTGGCCACATGTGAAAAGTTCTTTAAATTTAAACCTCTTTGTTTACAATGAAATATTCATTAGAAGTTTTGAAATACAGGACCACTCAATCAAGTAGTCTTTTAATTAAAGAGGTTTCTTTTTCCTATTTGGGCCAGTTTTCTACACTGTTTCATCCAGACATTTTTCTTATATATACTGTATTTCCATCAGCTGGTCAAAAATTTTAAGCTTACAAGAAATTCTCTGTAGATATGGACACACCTTTTCCAGAGTCGTATTTTAATTTTTGTCTTTTTAACAAAAGATACACACTACTAACTAAATATTAAGACTGATGGCTGTGCCACAGACCCAGAAGTAAAGCTCCTTCACATTCAAATTCATTCAGTTCCAGAGTTATCAGTCAACACGATCCACTTTTCCAATCTGGTGTTCCCCAAATATGTTGCATTTCAAGTTGCAGAATTTACAGTTGAACATCTTGAGTATACCAGGCTGGTGAAATACAAAATGCCTCTTTTTACATAAAAATTTACATCCAGGCAGTTCATTAATACTTAAGATAAGATAAGATAACCTTTATTGTCATTTTTATACTGTGGGCACGATGGCACACATCAAAAATGAAATTTAGTTGCCCGCTCTCAAAGTGAAACACATACATGACACACACCTAAACATACTATGAACAACATATGTTTAGACCCACATCCCTACATATACGTAGCAAATAAATATTAAATATTGTCCATCTTGAATATATAACGGAAGGAGGAAGCTTGAGAGTTCGCAAGGTTAATGCTGTATGGAATGAAACTGGCTGAATCTGGATGTTCTGCTTCGGATACCACGAAGCCTCCTCCCAGAAGGTAACAAGGAAAATTCTGCACCAGGTGATTTGAAACAAGCATGGAAATTGCTTATATAAAGAAATCTTAGTTGCTGTACTGCAATTTCTCTTTCAGCCCCACAGACTCACAGGGTTGTTGCTGTGAGAATAAAATAAAGGGACATCTCCATGGAAGCTGTACTGAGCTCTAGGAAGGAAAGTGGAGTCTAGAAAATACATTTTTAAAAGTTGTCCATTGATAATTAGTATGCTGTCAAATACAACTATATCTTGATTACTAATTATTATTGGGTACTGCAAAATTAGATACTTTACAGGGAAAGAATCATGCAATCTTTCTGTTGATCCAATGGAATGGCAAAAAAGCCTTTATTTAATATTAAGTCAAAGAAACAAATAAATAAAGCACGAATGATTTTCCTGACACATGTTTAGGAAAGCAATTTATGTATGTATGTATGTACGTATGTACATGTTTGTTTGTTTGTTTGTTTGTTTGTTTGTTTGTTTGTTTGTTTAGTAGGCCACCCATCTGACCTCATGTTAACTGTGGGGACTTACAATCATGAAAGGTAACATTGGGTAGGAGGAGAAAGGATGGCAATCTCTGCCTTGTAACTACTCCATATTAAATTGCAGGAAAGCGACAAAACTATTCAGCCTTGTTACTGACGCCTGGTATAGGCACACTGCAGGAATACTGCCATTTATTTTAAGGACAGAAATAAAACACATTAACTTGTCCCCAAGGAAGAGATCATGGTAATTTATTCTTAGAATAAGAATCAAATTGTTGGAGTAATTCAACTGAATCTCTGTTTAAAAATTGGATTCTCTGAGTTATACTTTCTTTCTTTTTCACACACACTTTTAAGGAAGGGTACTGTAGAAATTACCTGCATGTTGTTTTTCTCTTATGCATTGATGGGATATTTAATCTTGATGCTACTATCATTCACACAGGATATGGAATCTATCACAATTAATACAAATATATAGTCATAAACAAGGTTGCTGTTGATATGTTTTCCTGCTAGGATTATAGTAGGGCATCTGAGCACAGGAATATACTTATTCTGTCCAGCACAGAGTCTTGGTTGATTTTTTCCTCACATCAAATAATCATTGTATGCCAAAGATTTCTGCTGTGCTCTGTTTGGAGGTATGAGGGAGGATGCATTTATCCTCAGATTTTCTGGCCTAGGAATCATATTAGTTCCTGAAAACAGTATTTGAGGATGTCTCTGACCATAAATATCCTCAAGCTGATTCCAAAGACACCCAAGATTGTGTGTATGGCAAGTTTGATGTTGAAAGAGAGAAAAAAGCACCACTACAGACTGACAACTAAAGACAGGTCATGGCTGCCTAAACAGCAGACTGAAGGTGAGAAGGAAGTGATGGCACAAGGAACTTTTTCTCAGAAATAATTAGTAAAGATTTTTCATTCATGGAAAGAAGAAGATGACATTAGTACTTTAAAGAAGGACATTAGTACTTTATGAAACTAATTCTGTTGGAAGGGGAAGATAATTCAAGCATCTTTCAACAGACCTATGAATTTTTCTTCCATCATTCCAATAAACCTGAGCCAGCAAATTGTCACGTTTACCAACTATATGTTCTCTAAAAGTAAAAGTTCTAAAAATAACAAGGATACAAAGAGATGTTGAGGTCACATATTCCTGAACTTTTTAAGCAGTGCTGTTTTACGTTTTTGACAAAGCAGAAAATGCAGTATAATTCAAACAATCCATAAGTAAAATTAAAATAACATTGCTATGAATTTTCAGGAATTCCCCATCATTTCCTAAAAGAAAGGAAGGTTAAAACGGATCCTTTACAAATAATAAAATATGAAAATGTTTATTACTATCTCAGAAATGCATATGTCAGTGGTGGCGAACCTATGGCACGCGTGCCAGAGGCAGCACTCAGAGCCCTCTCTGTGGGCACGCGCACCATGCCCCGGAGATGGCAACTGTCCCTCTTCAACTAGCCGCCCACTAACTCGCCGAGGTCCCACGTGGCCGGATGCATCCCAGCACGGGTGGTTTCCCTCCCCTCCATCACATCCCTCCTGGCCTCGCATGCTCTCCTTTTCCTGGGCACGACCCACTGCATTGCCTCCTCAGCTGTCGGCTATCCATCCAGCTCAGAGACGGCTTCTCAGAACTGCTGGCAGTAGGCTGTGGAGCCCCAGAGTGCACCGGTCGAGGGGCCGGCAGCTGTGGCTGCTGATGGACACTGTCGGCCCCCATGTGCTCGCTGGCCTCTGTGTGCGGGGGCCGATGGTATCGAGCAGCAGCTGCCCCGGCCCCTGCCTCGCCTTGCCCTGCGACAATGGCACCCCCGCCCTGCCTTGCCTTGCCTTGCCTCGCCTCACTCCACAGGATGAGCGTCCTGCCCACCGTCCCACCTGCCAGAGACCCCCTGGATTTGCCCCAACCCTGTCCAGCCCCCACAGGTGTCCCTCCCCACAAGCAACATTGAGGTGACCATGCCCACCTTGGCCACACCCATCCAGTCTGCCATGACCACCACAGCCACGCCCACCCAGTGGGCCACACTCACCTGGCACTTGGCGATAAATAAGTGGGTTTTGGGTTGCAGTTTGGGCACTCGGTCTCTAAAAGGTTCGCCATCACTGGCATATGTTCTTATAATGCTAAATTCAGCCTTATTTATAAATGTTCAGTTGTCATTATTGTTACAGTATTGCTTCATTGTTTCATATATTTACATGCACTAGTATAATTTTATAATTATAATAACTGTATTATTGTGATAAATTCTTAATAAAATATCTTAATAAAATATTAAAATCAGCAACAAGCTAAACCAAATTCATGCTGTAGTCACAGATTTTAAGTTATTTTCTGCAAGCAACTACGGTATCACTTCATTGACAACATTGTTTTATTGGTCTATTTGCTTGCAAGGTTATTCCCGTTGCTCCATTCCTTTTATTGATTGTTGGAAGAAAAATCTGGTCCTTCTGGCTTGGAACAGGAGCAGATTTTTCTTCCAGCATGTTCATTCCTTTGATTTATGTGTGAGCTGGCAGAATCATTGGTTCAGTTTACATCCTGTAGTGTGTTTGGTTTGGATTTAGACCATTATATTTTGGGGATCATGAAATATAGTATAGCACATTATGTGAACTCATCCAATTTACATATGTAGGTTGCATCAGCTTTTACATTTCATAAAAGTAATTCCATTTTATTGTACAGAGTAGTAGTACTGTATTTAGTATTCAGATCTCCGAATGACCAGTAAATGGTAGCATCTGAAGATAGCTGTTGGATATCAGTTGGAACAAAAAAAATCTATGACTTTTGCTTACCTTAACTAACAGCACTTTTCATGTGTATCTCCTTTTTGCAGTAGAGAAACTGAATTTCACATAGCTATTTAGAATATATGTTGTCAGGACTGTGAGGGCAAAAAGTCTCTAATGCTTGCATAACATTGTGCTGCCAACTTATCAGGACAATTTCACAAGTTATCATTTTCCTGCAGGAAGTGCACTTTGTTCTAGGAAACGGCTTGGAAATCAGATTTAGATCTCTGACAATCTGGCATAGAGATTTCATGCTATTTCATGCTATTAATTGTGTGAGAAACAAATCAGGCATGAAGCATGGTTTATTATCCTTTGGTGTCCTCCCCTTACTGAACTTTTAATTACAGTTTAAAATAGTATTGCAGTACTTCTTTTTAAAATCTAGAGGGCACTCATAATTAACAAAGTTTTACTAAATACAACAACCTGTTACTTAATCATATACTCTATTAAAGTACAAAAAATATCTTGTTTATATGCTA